GGTTGGGCAATCCTACTTCCGTAGTGATACTGCCTCGGAAACCCAAGGAGGGGTCACTATGAGTCAGGGCTGACTCCATGGCACATAACAACAACAACCCCCAACTCCCTAGACAATTCTCTTTTCTCAAAATAAACTCATGCAGTTTGGTCATTTGCCTTAGATTGACTGACTCAATTGTGATTCTGGAGCCATGAGTAATTTTCCTTATGCTTTTGCTTTCTTTTTTTAGATAAGTGTTATTTGAAATTTTCTTAGTAAGTTATACTCTTATGGGCAGCTTCCAGACCACAGAGAGAGAAATAACCTCTGTTGGGACCTCTGGTACATTATCTGGCCTGCTTCCAATTCCAGACCTAGACATGACTCAAAATTTGTGGAGAACTAGAAGAAAAAGGGCAGAAAGATTGTGTGTATCCTATTTAATTTATTTGTCTATGATGTTTAATGTTTATTGTCGGCCATATTCGGAATCGAAACACTTCAAGATCAGGGATCTTGTCTGTTTTGTTCACTAATGGGTGCCAAACCCCCAGAAGAGTGCCTGGTACATAGTTGTTGTTGTTGTTGTTATGTGCCGTTGAGTCGGCCCCTACTCATAGCGACCCCTCCCTGGGTTTCCGAGGCAGTATCACTACGGAACTAGGATTGCCCAACCTTCCTTCCGAGGAGTGGCTGGTAGACTCTCAATAAATACTTAGTGAATAACTCAGTGTATCCTAAGTGCTCCTTCGTCTATGTATTTCTCTTTATTAGAAAATGAAGAAAAGAGAACGCTTAGTGATTGAGGTGGGGAGACAGATTCCACGTAGGGTGAGGGCGCAGTCTGCAGAGTCCGCTCTGACACCCTGGACAGATCCCCAACCCCAGGCTTCCTCAGCTGCCGGAGGACTGAGTGCTGAAGTCCCACCCTCTGGGCGGGCTCTGAGCCGAGCACGTTGTCCCTGATTGGCCGAGTGGAGGTGATGGGCGTGAGACACAGCAAAGGAAGAGCTACACTCTAAGCTTCCGGCGGGGCGGTTAACGCCAGTGGGGGAGCAGTTGGTGTGGTGGTCTCGCGGGTGGTCCTGGCGGCCTTTGAGGAAAACGAGGAGGGTGAGCCCTGGCAGGGGCCCCGGGGCGTGCCTGTGGATGCGATTAGCCCTAAAATGTTAGTAGCGGGGCATTCTGGTGGTCGCGTGGAAGCCGGGCCTGTGGGAAGGGGAAGGAATGGGAGGGAGCGGAATCAGGATGGTTATACCCCAAAACTAAAATGCATCTTCATAGATTGACTCATAGCGGCCCTGTAGGACGGAGTGGAGCTGCCCATAGACTTTCCAAGGCTGAAATCTCTACGAACCTCCCGACCTTTCAGTTAGCAGCCGAGTGCTTTAACCACTGCGCCACCTGGGGTTCTCCAGAATGGGTATGAAGGTGATCAGGTGATCCCTTCCAGGTGCCTGCTCCTGCATACATGCATGCATACATGCCCGGATCCACTTCACTTCATCTTCCATTCAGGGACCTTAATGTCGTGGAGAGGTGGCGGTGGTTCAAGATGGAGAAGTGTGGGTGTGGCCCTTTCTGCCTAAGGATTGAGGGTTCTGAATAGTCCTGGTGGCACAGTGCCTAAAGCATTTGACTGCTAACCAGAAGGTTGGAGGTTCAAACCCATCAGCTGCTCCAGGGAAGGAATATGGGGCAAATCTACTTCCCTAAAGATTTACTGCCTTGGGAACCTAACGGGAGCTGTGAGTCAGAATCAACTGGATGGCAGTGAGTTTGGTTTTTTGGTTTTCGGAATAGCACTTTACCTTCCTGCTTTCCTGGTCTCTGACAGGTTTGAACATGGCAGAAGGGGACACCCTGATATCAGTGGATTATGAAATTTTTGGGAAGGTGCAAGGGGTGTTTTTCCGCAAGTACACACAGGTATGTGGCCTACAATCTTTGGGGATATATCAGGTCATGAGTAGGGAACAAGAGACATGTTTCTGGCAAATGTGAACTGGAAGAAGCTGCATGGAAAGGAGATTGTAAAGCAGTGGGTGTGAAAATGCTTTGCAGTCAGTAAAACACAATGTAAATGAAGGTTCTATAGCAGTTATTGCTGGTCTTTTTCTAACAGTGGGACCAGAATCCTAAGACAAATATGTCTCTGTCTTCTGAAGGGCAATGGAGGGCTTCCTTAGTTTTCTCTGTTCTGGCATCATCAAACAAATTCACGTTTCCCTTGTGGGGAAGCTAACATCTATGGCATAGATAGCGTGAACTTAGGACATTTGTGTAATTTATGTAATTGCTTCTTTATAGCTCAGGACTTTTCTTCAGACCACTTTTTACTCATTTCTCCAACTGTCTCCCATTTCCCCCACTTAATTTTTTTTTTTTCTATTCATTTTGACTTTGAAAGGACAATTACCTTTCTCAGCTGAAGTTTTTCTAATTAAAAATACTTTATCCATTCCAGGGTAGGTAACTGGTAACACTGAATGGAGAGTTTGGCATGCTAATTGGACTAATCGGGAACAGTTGAGGGGAGGAACAAACTATTGACAGCTCTGGCTTGGCTGTAGTATTATTAACCCTCCCTCAGTTTCCTTTCTGCCTTTAGTAGGGGGATATTGATGGGATTAGCACCCTTCCAGAGTATCTCCAACTCCAGAAATCGATCAACATGATAACTAGAGAAAAACTGAAGTTGTCAAGGATATCATTGTACTTGGATCTGTAACACCCATAGAGACAGCAGAGAAGGAATCAAATGACAGTGAAATTTGCTGCACAAGACCTCTTTAAAGTGTTAAAAAGCAAAGATATCAATGTGAGGATTAAGATGCATCTGACTCAAGCCAGGGCATTTTCAGTCACCTCAAATGGATCTGAAAGCTGGACAGTGAATAAGGAAGATGGGAGAAGAACTGATGTATTTGCAGTGGCATCACTGGGGTTGGCTTACCTATTGCAGTAACTCTGGGTGTCACACCCCAACCTCTGTGCATGGGGCTAGCCAGCAGAACCACTTCTCCCACCCCTACCCCACCACTGCCACTGCCATGGGCCACCCCACCCTGCCCTCACCCAGGGCAGAGTGTGCTGCTGCAGTCTGCCTCCATCAGCTCCCCATCTCCTCCCCTTTCTCATTGGCCAAGATGAGACTCTCCTTTCCACCAATGGCAGGCACCATAGCATGCCTACCCATCTGCACCCTGACTGGGGGCAGAGGAGCAATTTACTGCTGTGTGACAAGTGACACGAACTTTAGTGATGCCACTGCCTTGGCAGGCCCTCCCCTTGTTTTGCTGGCCGACTTTCTGCTGCTGCCACACCTTGGGTTCATTTTGCTGTCCCCTCCCACAGTGTCATGGGACATGATCTGCACTGTGCATTTGTGTTGCGTTGGTTGAAGAATATTGAATGTATCATGGACTGTCAGAATGAACAAATCGGTCTTGGAAGGATTTCGGCCAGAATGCTCCTCCTTAGAAATGAGGAGGTGAGACTTCACCTCACTTACTTTGGACATGTCATCAGGAGGGACCAGTCACGGAAAAGGACACTGTGATAGTTAAGTTTGTGTCAGCCTCGCAGGGCCATGAATTCTAAGTGGTTTACCAGTTAAGATGCGGTTGTCCCCTATGAGATAAGTAATCACTTCCATGATGAGATTTCTCCAGGTGTGGCCTGTTTCCAGTGTAGATGGAAAAGCTCTGAGAAAGGTCTCTGGCTTTTTGCTTGGGATCCTGTGTCTGGTTCGTCATCATCTGGGCTTGGACCAGTGGCCTGCCGTATTGTCTGCTGATCTTGGGATCATTGCCTTCACAGCCTGTGAACCAACACCCTGTCATTTTACCTGCTGATCTTGGATTCATTAGCCTCTGAAGCCAGCAGCCTGCTGTATTGCCTGCTGATCTTGGGTTCTTCAGCCCCTGCAGCTACATGGGTCCAAGAGAAGCCTCCAGTTTGACATTTGACCCACAGACATGGGGCTTGTCAGCCTCTCAACCTCTATAACTGTTGTGAGCCATTTCCTTGAGATAAATCAACACCCCCCGCACACACACACACACACCCATCTCTCTCTCTCTCTTTCTCTTTCTCTTAGCTTCACTGGTTTTGCTTCTCTGGAGAACCCAACCTCAGACAGACATAATGCTTGGTAAAGTAGAGGGTCAGTGAAAAAGAGGAAGTCTCCCGATGAGATGGATTGACACAGTGGCTGCAGCCATGGGCTCCAACATAGCAATGACTGTGAAGATGGTACAGGCCTGGGCGTGTTTCATTCTGTTGTACATAGGGTTGCTGCTGTAGGTTGAAACCAACTTGACATCATTTAACAACAACAGCTGGGCTAGTGCCCTTTTGGTGTATCTCCAACCCAAAAAATAAGATAGGACTGCAGAACTTTCCAAGTGTCAAACCTAAAATTCAAACTTGAATCTTTGAAAGATAAATGTCAATACCTCTTTTTCCAATTACTTGCAAATCATTTTCTCCTATTTCATAGTCATATATGAAACACTTATTAAAAGAGTTATTGAAAGTCATAGCAAGAGCTATGTACCAATTAGCTTTGCTACCCGTTGTGCAGGGGACGTTTCTGTGATTTAGTAAACTGAGGTGACAGCTTCAAAGATTAATCAAAAGTTGTTGAGGGAAAAGAACCTCTTCCTTGACCTCCTCAAATTTAGACAGAGAATAAAAGAATGCACAAGAAGAAATAATGACTTGGAAAACTGCAAAGAAAATGCAACCTTTTTTTTTCTCTTTATTTTCCAGCTTATTTTTACTACTTATAATTGTTTAAATATATATACGGGTATATGTTGCTTAACATCCATAACACGTTCCGTGAAATAGGATATTACATGTCTTGGTTGTTGTGTGAACACCATTTAAAACCTTATGAGAGCCCACTTCTAGTTGTCCTCATTGCTGCTGTTGCTGTTTTCTGGAGCTGCTGGCGGAGCCTGGTGGAATGGGCTCCTGCAGTGGCTGCAGCTGAAAGGGTGGCAGTGGAAGCAGAGCAAGAGAATGGAATAAGGAGGTGGGGGAGCCGGCCCCACCCCACATACTGTTCACCTGCATGAACAGTAGGAGCAGCCCAGGCCCCACAGACCCCATGACCACTGGTGGCTGCCTCATGGACAAAGTCCATGAGCCCACGCCCAGAGCCACCTCATCTGCCTCAACTGCCTGTATCCCCGCTATGGTCCAGTGCTGCAAGAGTTTGGGTTTGGGACTCTTTAAAACCATCAGGGGGAACTAATCAACAAAAGGAGAGCTGCTTTCCCTTTTAAAAAAAAAGTTACGGGACCATGGACATATATGTGGTTGGACATTGTCCTAACCAACGTTAAGCAGTGAATACCTGTATTGATCGGTTGATTGTGATTGGGTGAAAGTTTATGGAGCAAATTGGTTTTCCATTCAGCAATTCATACACGTTTTGTGACTGTAATCCCCACAGTGTAACCGCACTCTTCGTACTACCACCTCCCTGTGTATACCGTTTCCCTTCATCCTTTCCTATCCCTTCCTGCCTTCCTAGCTTTATCCCTGGGCAAACGCTGCCCTTTTGATCTTGTCTGGCTGATTTTTCTAATGAGTGCGTATTTCCCTGGTATTATTGTTCACTTATAGGCTGGCTGTCGTTTGGCTGGGGAAGACCGGTATTTATTTTAACAATTGTTTTGTTTTGCTGTAGTCTGTTTCCAAGTTGATATCATCTAGCCTCTAAATTCCATCGAAAATACAGGAAGGGACTTTTTAAAAGTTGGAATATAATTCACATACCATAGAATTCACCCTTTTAAAGTATACAGTTAGTAGTTTTTAAGGTATTCACGAAGATGTGCACTGATTATGGAACGTTTTGACCACCACTGAAAGAAACCTCATACTCATCAGCAGTCATTCCTCATCCACACAGCCCCACCCTAGCTCCTGGAACCACTAACCTTTTTGTCTCTATGGATTTGCCTATTCTGGATGTTTAATATGAATGGAATCTTTCTTACCTTGCCATAATGTTTTCATGGTTCATCTATGTTGGGGCATGGATCAGTACTTTATTCCTTTTTATGGACAAATAATATTCTATTAAGTGGATATACCACATATTATTTATTCATTCATCAATTGGTGGACATTTGGGTTGTTTCCACTCTGGGACTATTATGAATAATGCTGCTGTGAACATTTGTGAACCAGTTTTGTGTAGACAATGTGTTTAATTCCCTTGGTTCTATATACTTAAGAGTGGGTTTCTTGATCATTAACTCAATGTTCAACTTCTTGAGATACTGTCAAACTATTTTTCAAATCAACTGCAGCTCTTGCATTCACACCAGCAATCTATGAGGGTGGCATTTTCCCCATATCCTCATCAGTGCTTGTTCTTTTTTATAATAACCATCCTGGTCAGTGTGACGTGGTTTCTTATTATAGTTTTGGTTTGCATTTCACTAATGACTAATGGGGAGCTCTGGTAGCATAGTGCCTAAGGCACCTGACCACTAACCAGAAGGCTTGCGGTTCAAAACCACCAGCTACTTCTTGGAAGGAAGGTTGGGCAATCTACTTCTGTAGTGATACCACCTTTGAAACCCAAGGAAGGGCCACTATGAGTCAGGTCCAGACACATAACAATAAAGACAACTAATGATATTGACCATTTTTCAGGTGCCTATTTATTGGCCATTTGTATAATTTGAATAAATGTTTATTCAAAATCTTTGCTCATTTTTAAATTGAAGTGTCTTTTTATTACTGAGTTGTAAGAATTCTTTAGTAGTCCTTTATCAGATACATGATTTGCAAATATTTTCTCCCATTCTGTATCCTGTGAAACACAAAAGGTGTTAATTTTGATGAAGTACAATTTCTCTTCCACCCCCCCACCCAATCATTGTGCATTTACTATTACACCT